ATACCGGCGATACAAAAACGAACTACAGGCAGCGAAACGAAGAGAGCTACAGAACTGCATCCGGTTTGCTCGACTGTGTTTCGATCTACTCTCGAGAACAACAATTTCGTGTTGTTGGGTCACGTCTGTAGTAATTTGTGGTTTAGACTGGAACACTTCTGGTACACACTTGACACGTATCTTGGCGGAAACACGCACTATATGCTCTTACCTGGCCCGTTCTGTTAGCTATTATATCTGCACCGATGATTCACAAGTAATGTTACGTCTTTTCTGTCTGCTGTTTACAGTTCACTATACCGCGTATACCGTGAATCAACAGTATACACCGTGACGATTGGTCGAGATCAAAGGTCAACATATACAAGCAGACTTGACACAATCAAATGCGATTTTCTCAGGTTTGCATTCTTTGTGTACCAAGCTCGTCGACTTTCATAACAGTCCATCCATATAGTTGTGGGATTGTTTGACGTGTGACGCGCGAATAAATAGCAAAGTACAAAAATTACCAGAAAAAAAAAAAAAACGAAAAAAAAATCGTCATTCACGATTGCAGTCAATCAAAAATATTCATAAAAAAATTAAAAGCATCCCGTGACGATGTATGTGAAATTATAGTCTTATATTTGTTAAAACCCCGATTTTGAACTTTTAAATGCCAATTTCTCTCTTTCACCGAAGAGGGCGTAACCGGTAGTACTGATCACGAGGTGAGAAAGTATATTTTCACAATGGTAGCTTTGAATAGAGCAATTAAAATGTACTATGCAACACTACAAAAAGATTAAAACGGAACTCTATCAGATCTACCTTTGAGAAATAATACTTTGTTTTGGTATATGGTCCAATACGTCTCACTTAAAGGTTAAAACTTTACATTGTCGCTAATAAATGTATACCAAATTTTGACAAATTTAGTAATGAAAATAAATTCAAGTGATGAGAAAATGTTTTAATATAAGACAGCAGCACCTCGTAAACTAAGCCAGTAACACATTCCTTGTATACAAATTTTTATAATTTTGTCTCTCAAGACGGATTTCAGTATTTGCATTTGTAGTTTCAATTGTTTTTTCTAATATCTTTGCTTTAATTATGTTCATTTGCTTTTCATGTATTTATTTTTCTTTTACTAATATCTGATTTGTAACCCTTTTCATCCCCTACGGGGGGGTGTTATAAACTAAAAATAAATACTGAGAGGGCTAGCTGGAGCAGCCCCTTTAGTTTATAGTGTTACTGGCTATTGAATATAATTACCGAAGACTACGATCACATACTATCCTTTCATACATATATAATTTACTGGCCTTACAAAATACTCAATCTCCATGAAACATTGTATATATATATGTGTTTTGCATTACTACTATTTAATTAATATCCACATTTATATACTAACAGCGCACTATACGTGACTGTGTCTCAGTGCACTGGACAATTAGTAATTTTGTTTAAAAATCTAAAGCGCCGTCCTCGGGTTGCATTGAAAGATACCTAATTGATCTGAAAAATGTTTTCATTCGAGAGTCGCTAACCAAATTTCGATTAAGTAATCACTCCCTGAAAATTGAATATGGTCACCATTCCAATATGCCTGTTGATGAAAGGATCTGTGAACATTATCATGATGGCGTTAACATCGAAGCATTAACTTAGATGAACGTCATTTAATGGTTCGTACAAAATACAAAATGCACAGAAGGAAATTGTTTTCAGATGCTAAAAGAATTAATGATAAATTTGCGAAATAAATTTGAATACATAATGGGCACTAATGACTTGTCAATATCTCTTACAGCCTAGACAGCAATACTGATTTTAGCATTCTGATTTTACTTTTCCTATATTTTTTTGTTTTCTCCTCCTTCTTCTACTTATTTTTGTTTTTAGTTTTTCCATTGTTTTTCAATTGTAGCCCTTTTCATCTCTACCGAAGGATGCTATGTGCTAATAAATATATAATATACATAACTTGTATTGCACGCGCTGTTCAATGCGGAGCCAATGTAGACGTTTTAGAATTTGGTGTAACGAATTGAATCGTGTCTAATTGATGCTGTGATATTCTGTACAAGTGTGTATTACAGTAATCCAATCTGAATGTCACAAATGCATGAAATTGTTTCTGTCAGTGACTGAGATAGGAAATACCGAATTTTTCCAATTTTGCGGAGAGCGAAAAAGGTAAATTTACAAATTACATTAACATTAGTTGACATCTTTTCATCGCAGTCTAAGTGGACTCCAAAAAGTCTAACTGAAGTTACCATAGTGACGTCAGACATTCCAAAGCCGACCGTTTTACTTGCGTCATTTCTGAAGCTCAATGTAAATTTAAGAACCTCGGTTTTATCGTCATTTAGTACAAAACCTGTTAGACATCATCCATCCGCGTATTTCACCGGTCCGATACACGATTCTAATGAAAATGAAATTCCACCATCATTATACGTGTACATGTTTGATGGGATAATATCCTTCAAATGCCAAAGTCAAATCTTCCCATTTTTCACAAATAAACCCGGATATTTTTTTTCTTTATTTCTTTTCAAAAAATATTGACCAAGACATGTTGTCATGGGATATGACGACCATTTTGTATCAAATTAAAGAAATTACAGGAAAACACATAACAATGTTTTTGCTGGAAAAATCATGGTGCTAAAAACTATGTACAATAAAATAATACTCGTACTAAAGAAAAACTCAATATCCTGACCGGGGCTGACATCATAGATTACGCGTGCTTCCGAGAACAGTCGACAGCAAATCCGTCGGTGAGGGCGTAGTAAACTCACCCCTACCGAACCCGGCGAGCGAAAAACATAAATTACTGGTGAGCATTTTGAAACTATAGACAATAATTCGAAATGATTTAATTTGTTGGCTAGTGTGAACAGCTGAACAAATTGAAAATGATTCATGGAAAACTGAAGGCTTACACATTCTCAGAACCCGGACTCAGAACTCCAGCGTTGCCAAGTAACAAAAACACAATCTGATTAAGGTAGAAGCCTACTCATGAATTCAAATTCCCAGAATTTATCCATTTTTTAAAATAAATTGTACTTCCGGGCAATATAAGAATATTGACTTCAAAAAATGTTAGGGGTCACCAGCATAAATTTCGAGAAAATGGTGGCTGTATTTTAGTTGTTAGCGGCCATTTTGACAGTTGTATAGGGATTTTACCATAGGCTCCTATGGCAGAGATACTATGCCATATCTCAAATTAAAGGCTGGTGACATAGACTGAAAAAATAATATATTGTGAATGATGGGATACTTATTGTTTTCCTGAATTATTTCAAGATTCTGAGTTTTAAAAAGTGTCAAAAATTCATTTTTTGTTTAACATTATGCTCAATGGAATTTATGAAAAATATTAGGACAAGTTTCGCAAAATACTAGTACGTCACTGTAACACACACAATAATGCTATTTTATGACGCAATGGAGGAAATTATTACATAATAAACCAATGAACATTGTCATGCAATTTATTTCTACCTTAAAATACGATACATACTTAGTATTACTAGATCACCCAAACCATTTAGGTATCTTTTTTTACCTCCATGTCAAAACTAACCAGTGATTACGTAATATATCAAACCAGCGAATCGGCTTGATCATGGAGCTAAAATGGCTTGATTATAACACCCCACTCCGAGCCCTAGTCCCTCCCTAAAGGACAACGATATTGAGCGTTGAAATTATATTATATATGATAAATTTTAGTGGCAATTATCTTTAAAGAGGGGAGGCAAGAGGGGTAGCTGGTACGGTTTTACGGGAAATAAAAAGGGCTTTTTACAATTTACAAGGAAAAAAAGACGTTTTTACAGTTTACAGTGTTAAAAAATGATACATTGAATGGTCCAAAGAACTCTCCGACTCAAATTCTCCGCCATTGCTGCGCCGTGTGTAGAGACGCATGCGCATATTACCCTCGTAATGCTCTTCATTCGGTTAGAGGGCCTTTTACGTCTTGGCATTCAATTTTGTAGTGAATTGTGTCAGCTAGTCGTTTTACAGTTTCTAAAATGTAATTTCCCTGGATTATTCTTTACGATTTTTTGGATGTAAATTCTTGTACGTACCAAGAAAAATGACACATTTTTACAGTGTACAAAAAAAATATTTGATTGATTACGTTGTACGTCTAGCCTGTGATTACAGAATTACGAAATTTCTTTTTTCTATTTACGTTGTACGGACAAAAAAATATTGCAATTACGTTGAACGAAAATAACCCCCCCCCCTTTAAAAAGTTCATTATATATTCTCAGTATACTGAAATGTTATGATAATTGTTGTCCCGAGTTTGTCGAGTCCAGTACAATAGGTGTAAAACACGGCAAACACAATATGTATAAGATTCTGGTCGGTACCACACCGTTTCTATAAAGTGGATTCCATTTCAGATAACGGCACGCTCGTGATTCGTCGTTGAGTTGCAGTAATAGAGTGTTTGAGTAGGCGGAGTTTTCAAAGAGAGAATAATACATTGTCTTCGCGAATCGGTGTTATCCCGCCAAATAACGATGCACTCAGATTGGTCAACTACCCGGGTTCAAGTGAGGTTAACTTTTGTAAGTGACGGGTACCACCGTGGAGCTTTTGCTAGTATCCTGTATTGTTCTCTTTATTAAGAATTTATAGTTTGTCTATTTCACCGCGAAAAGAAAATTAAACTAACACTCTGCGTCAGATATTATCGTCCCGTCAGACGCCGTGTCCTTACCGAGGCGGACGTGACTGACGTGCGTAACAACAAAGGAATAATAATTTCACAATATTGCGTAATCGGGATATTATTTAACATTGGTCTGAAATTAAATTTCCCGGAAACGTGTCCACGAGAAAATCAGTGTGACGCACAGTTTGTGCACGTGTACGTAACAAATTACATGTAACGTGACCTTTCCAAATAAGGCAATGGCGACGTCATTGATCATTGCGACATTTTACCACGTTTCTAGAATCTACCATTATTTTTACCCATCGTGCATTTCGTATGATAGAAAAAGATAGGGCTTGGCGCCATTATATAGCGGGTGTACACTGTGAAACAGGGTAAAAGAAATATGTATCGTCGACGAAGATATCTACTCTTACAACTCTCTTTGAAAGAACAGGATTTCACGCATAATTTTATACGAAACAGTTATAAATAACACATACTTTGCCAGGTAAACATCTAAGCTGTCGATCGGACCAAGACGGGAGCAAAATGCCGCGAACCAGGAATAAAAAGAAAGGTAAGAGTGTGGGAATGTCACCGCCCCGTTTAACTGTTTCACACATCCATATGGAAGATATGAAAACTCAATATCTATGTTCATGTTTTAGTTCCATATTTCGCCGATTTTGAAGACACACGTGTCACTCTAATAAATTTATTGACACGGCTATTCACAAACATCGCTGCATTACGATTTATTTCTCCCGATTTGCATCGATGAATTTTCGTCGGAAGCTGAAAAAGCCGGCGACTGACTTGATTTCATGGTCGCTTATTTGGTTGACCTGTACGTACGTGCGTGTTGCTTTGGAGTGTGTGCGAGTCGCACTGTCTTCGAGTACGCGCTGTTTTCATTGATGAAATTGTGAAATTCACTAGAAAAACTGTTTATAACATGACATATAGCATATACGCTGTGTTTTCATCTCTGGAAACTGCGACGCACTCGCATATACGCAAAGCAAATTTCAGGTGTCGCAGTTGTTATTGAAATACGACCTTGGCGACCGCTTAGAATGATGAGTCAGTATATGTTTATGCGTGTTTTAGGTATATTGCACAAACACTGACTGTTATTATCACAAGAATGTAGAAGAACATGCGTTTTAACACGAGCAGGGCATTCCCCTCAAATTGTACTCGAATTATTTAGTCTTGTACCCTAGAAGAAATGTCTATTTGTTATTTCCAATATTTTGACCTCAGTATTGAATTTCAGATTCAAGGCTACCGAGGGTAGTCAACACTGACCAAAGTACTTTTAATAATATATATACCAGTATATGTATATTTATAGCCTATGAACAGACATATTTAAATTGAACTTTATCCAGAACCATGTAGGTCATCCACCCAATTGTTCATGTTCTCATGGACTTTGGTTGACATTTCTTATCTTGTTGCAATTTAATTTTAATATTTAATGTGATGACGAAATTGTGAAATGTGTTTGTTTGTTTTTTCACCATAGGAGGTAGGCGTAGTGCTGACGTAAGTGAAGATGAAACGTTTGATGACAGAGTCAGTGTTGCGAGCAGCAAGTTGTCTGACCATGATAGTCTCCCACAATTGGAAGATGGTTAGTACAATATTAAATCCTGGATTATTCATATCTGTTGTCTGAAGATTAAACTATAGATTAGATTATAATTTGACCCAAATGCCCTTTTGGTCTAGTGGTTCTTGGTCAAGTCCCGGGTCAACAGTATAGTGACCTCTGAACCAAGCTGTGAAGTCCACACACTGACTTTGTATGTATATATATTTTTTATCAACTTAGGGGACGAAGGGTCGGATGATGTCGTGGAAGCAGGGGATGAATTTGAAGACAAACTGAAAGAATTCATTGATGGTACTTCACAGAAAAGGTAAGTTTGAAATTTGTTTTCAGTTTTCAAAAACTTGTATATACAAAGGTAATGATAGTTGCAATTGCTTCCTATGTTTCTAAATAACGATGACCGACAATGTTTGTTTCTTTATATTATCAGTGCAAAAGGAAGACTGACATGTTTAGAAGGGATACGGTCATCATTGAGTAGAAGATACATCTACGAATTCATCTATGAAAGGAAAATTACAATAGCGGATTGTATCGAACGATGTCTGAAAAAAGGTGATTTGCTATATGATAATTTTAAGTATAAATTGAGAGATTGGTTTCTTTGAATGTTGATGAAATTGCCTCCTGAAAGTATGACAGATGTGTGTCTGTGATCATGTTTTAATGATGCTGTGTACAACAATATTTTGGCTTATGTGCACTTCTATTGGAGATACACTTCTAATAGGAATCACATGTGCTATGATCCACCCACACCTTTAACCCTCACCCCCTGTGTATATTGTAAAACTTCCATAGTGGATCGCATGTGTGTGAACAAGAGAGAAAGACAAAGGATAACAGTTATGCGTTCTTTCACAGCTGGCAAATGTAGCTACGTTCTTGTATGTCTAAAAAACGCTGGTGTTGACACTGGTTTTTTGTTGTGCAAATATTAGATAATCTGCTGAATTGTCTGCTCTAAAAACACCGGTGTTTGAGGATTGAATGCTGGCCTTCTACCTAATATTTCGTGTAGTTCATCCCAAAATGGTATAGTTTTCAGATCTCTACCGCTTCTGTTGTTGTGCTCAGTTCCTTCTCTGTACTTTAAACGTAAAGTTTTGATTTTCCGTTCACATTGTAATGACTTCCTGTCCAACTCCTTTTCAGCCGCTTTCTCTGCAATCACAGCATATACTCTAGCATCCCTAGTCGTTCCGTCCATCATTCTTAAATTCATAAATAAGTCTGTGATAGAGGGCGTTTGGCCATCATATTGTGTTCACACGGCACACTGCGTTGTGCAAGAACCGGTGTGACAACGGCGTTTAAGATCTGGTCCACCCCTTTTACGACTGTCAAAAACGCCAACGCCACAATGGCATATTCTGTTCACACACGCATTTTAACAACGTTCTAAAATAAAGGCGTTGTGACAACTGCTTATTTCGTCCAGTGAGAACACCACTTGTAGCAACATGTGCTCTATCATCTTATTATAAGGCTTCATTTAAGGCTCCAAGACAATTTGAGCCAAATTAAAATTTTGCACTATTGATTATTTTACTGCAATGTTTTATGGGAGAGATCTTCCCATTGTTTATGATAGTAAACCATCATTGTACTCTGGGGTAAGGGGCATTGGCACAGGAGGGAGCCATCCACTTTGGATAAAACGTTTCAAAGTCAGTCCACATGCCATCATTGAAGCAACAATAGATGAAAATAATGAAATCATTTCAGCAATTTCTTTCCAGAATAAACCTCAACGAAACTTAGAAATATGCCATAGAAATATACAGGCCCTAAAATTGTGTCTATTGGGAAACAAATCAACTGACAACTAGTTTAGCACTACAAGTTTCTTACAGTAATGATTTCTATGCATGATTTTATTGCGTTCAAAATTATTCCATTACAAACTGCACACGCGCACACACACACACACACACACGCACACGCACGCACGCACACACACGCACACGTGCACGCACGCACGCACACGCACACGCACACACACACGCACAGCGATTTCTTGAAATTCATTCTAATTAGGTAAATTGTCATTGGTAAAAGTTATTGATTTGTATTATTAGTATGTGACTTGTTCATTCTATTCATTCATTCATTGTTCATTCATTCTGTTGTCTTGTATCTTGTCAGGTGACCCCATTTTGTTGTTGTCATTTTCGGTGTTCTGGTCATTTGATTTGATTACACAACTACAAACTTTAATTGTCTTATCTTTCATACTTGCGTCACATAGGTAAAAGTGAGGAACAGTCATTAGCTGCTGTCAACTCAATATTGCTATGTTGTCAACTGGGTGCAGGTGAAGAGAGCGAAGCAATTTTCAACAGTTTCAGACCTATTTTAACCACTATAATACAAGATAAAAATGCATCAGCTAAATCCAGAGCTAGTGTAAGTATATATACCAATAAGTCTGCAGAGTCCATGGAGATTGTGGGTCTATATCTCCCATGGTCGGCTGCACACTCAGCAATGTAAAAAAAAAAAAACTTTCTGCCCATTTGCTAACCTTGCGTCATCATGGAAATAAATGCATTGTAAAAAATCCGATTTTAGTGGGTTCCTCTCAATGCATATACAGTCAAACCTGTCTATAAAGGACAGTCAGTGGACTGAGCCAAACTGTCCTTTATAGACATGTGGTCGTTATAAGGAGGTGGCCTAATTTATTCATTCAATCATGAATATTAATTAGGCGGGAATTTTAAGGGAGATCATGAGCAAAACATAAAAACAAACCTACACATTGTACAATGAATAGGTCTTTTTTAATAAAAGTCACTCATTTTGATCTGAATAATTACACAGCTTTTCTTTTTTACTGCAAATTATATCATGTAAATTCACTGAAACCAAGTGATTCTGCCCATGGATTCATTGGTGTATTTAATGCATAAGAACGATTGTCAACGATCGGCTGCATTGGCGTTTCAGCTCGGACTTTCACACTCTCACCATGCAGTCTTATTCCCCAGTCTCTTACACATATTTCATCACAGGCGGTAATCAGTCCCATCGTTAGTATTGTCGATTGTACACTGTGACAAAATGCACAGGCAAAGTTGCTGTGTTTGAAAAAACAAACAAACAAGCATTAAAAATGAAAAAGCATTGGTAATAAACAACATTTACCTAACTCATAACGATTGCTCCAACTCTCGGTGTTGAATCAGAAAGTCAAACGAACCGGAAATGAAACGCGATGATCGTACACACAATTTTACAGTTATTCGTTGCAAGCATCGACGTGCAAAACTGCCCAAACGAAACAAATTTTCTCGATTGCAAATTATTGATATTACCGTTTATAAAAAAAAAATAGAAAACATCTGTCGTTGAAAATAACCCTGATATGACCCCTCAGTAACATTATGTTTTGCCCATGAGCTAGCTTCATTAACATAATTTATAACGATCAACAACAAACAGCATGGCAGCCAAAATAGGTCGGATTTTGCAATCCCGCGATGAAAACGAAATAAACGAATGTTTTATTATTTTGTTTGGATATTTCATGTCGACAAGGTAAATAAAACATGTCTCATTTAATAAAACTGGTTCATTGTTCTTGTTTTTGAGACGGGAGGAATTTGCTCTTCATGTGCAAGACAGTCCACAGAAGTGCCGCTGGCCGGCTGGGGATCGATAGTATAGTACCGATCGGAAACAAGCTAGTTTTTCATTTCAAACTTTGAATGAAACTGTTTTAATTTGTTGTTAAAAATCTTTCCAGTCTTTAGACGTTACATTCAGATGATATTCAACTTTTGTTTTTTTACTTTTTCA